CTAATTATTATGTGATTTGTTTAGTGAACTCAAGAGACAGGAAATCCATTTGATCCGCAAACGAGAGAAGAAATGGATCCAAATGTTAGACAAATGGGATAAATATATAAACAATCGCTGGAAGACTGTGAGAGACCGGTGCCGGAAGGGTATACCCCATTCGATGCGGGGTCAGGCGTGGCTCTACCTGTGCGGCGCCCACCACCAGATCCGACTCCACCCGAACGCCTACCGCGATCTCATCGCACAGGAGGGCAACGAACAGATTGTGGACGAGATTCGCAAAGACATTCACCGCCAGTTCCCCAATCACGAGCTGTTCGCACAGCCATTGGGCACCGGACAGACAGATCTGCTGAATGTCCTCAAAGCTTTCTCTATACTGAAGCCTGACATCGGCTACTGTCAGGTACTGGACATGGGATGGGGTTATAGTTTTAATGGTGTTTTAATTGCTATGTTTATAATCCTAGGGTCAGGCGCCGATCGCATCGGTACTGCTGATGCATATGCCGGCGGAACAGGCGTTCTGGTCGTTGGTGGCCATATGCGACCACTACCTACCCGGCTATTTCTCGCCGGGACTGGAGGCCATCCAACTTCACGGCGATATGTTGTTCTCATTTCTCAAACGCTTCACTCCTAACGCTCACAAACTTATGGTTTGTCTTGTTTTTGGTGTTTCTTATGAGCACTAAATGATGCATTTGTTTTGATTTTAATTTCATTTATTTGTCTAAAATAGGAGAAGCAAAAGATCGAACCGATTCTATTTATGACCGAATGGTTTATGTGTGTCTTCGCCCGTACCCTCCCCTGGACGTCAGTCCTCAGGGTTTGGGATATGTTTCTCTGCGAAGGTAACCATCCATTCATTTGTCTAATCATTTGGGGTTAAGCCCTGTCTCTAATGCTAAACTATGCACTCAATCGTAAAACTCATGAAAATGATAACCCAATGAATGTGTCATTTGTTTGTGTGGACAGGCATTAAAATAGTATTCAAGTGCGCGATAGTGTTGGTGTCGACGACGCTGCGCAACGACACGAAAAAGACGTGTCCGTCGATGTACGAGACGCTGGAGAAGCTGCGCAACCTATCCGTGTACCACATGTCGGAGCCCGTACTCGTGGACAGTATTCTCAAGTGTGAAATACACGACTCGGACCTCCAGAGGGAGCACAACATCCATGAGAAGAAGAGGCGCCAGAAGTCGCAGCAAAAGGCGAACCAAACGAAATCCAATGGCAATCGACGCTAACCTCTTGTGGGACCACCACTCGCGGGACCCGTGTTTTTCGATGGACACCCCCTTTGATGAATAACTAACTCTCTGTTTAGAGATGTTTTATACGATATTTTATATATTACTCTCACTTGTCATCTATTTATCGAAACATTGTTTTTGTCGAAAAACGTTATTTAAGTTATAAATTGAAAACTCAGTTCTTATTTTTCAAAATACTTTAAATTGTTGTCCAATTTTATTGATTACATAATTTGTTTGATAAATATAAATATTATTATTGTATATGACTTGCAGATTGCGAACAAATAAATTCAGAATTAATTATTATTATCCCTTTAACTATATTGTTTTAAATTTATTTGTATCTAATCATAAGCTATTATAGAGGCGTTTAAATTGAACCTGATGTTATGGACATATAGTTTGATAAAAATACGAATTTCTTTAAGAATCAGTTATGAGATAAGATTTTGCCATTCATTCACTCGTCAGTATCCATATTATAAAGCAATGTATTTTCATTAACTATTACATAATGACATTTATTAATGATTTCAAACTTATGTGACTATTATTAATAGTACTGTACAAGTATTTAATTTGGCATGTCTAAAAATATATTAACATATTTTATTACAACATAAACTATAAATAAATCGATTAAATATAAATAGTAATTATAAATAACATTCTATGAAAAAATATTTTAAAGTGGGTCCTTTTTATTGTAAATTATTTACTAATTTCACTTAACAAATTTTCCCTGTTCGTAATTATCTTGTTAGATTATTTTTGACTTTATGGTTTGATTATTTAGTCATTTTTATTAATAAATTATAAATTGGAATAAGTTTTAAAATAAATAAAGTTTTATTAAATTGTAATAATTAGCTATTAGATGTAAATATTAAGGTTTCTAAAACTTTTAATACTTTCTTTCAAAACATAGAAATTTTTAATTAATTTTAATTATATAATATATTATATCTAAAACACGTGTGTAAGGGAATCAGCCTTTGGTTGTATGCATTACGGGTTGTTTAAATTCAATTCAATATACAGTGCCAAGTTAAACCATATTTGATTTGCTTACATTTATTAATTACAACCATTTTTGAATCACTATTTAATGGAGTGAAATTGTATTCAAGAATATATGATTAACAATTACGTATGGATATTACATTATTTTAGATTACAATACTATAACTTAATAATTTAAGCAAATATACTAATTTCTTTGAATATTACTAATAAATACAATATATGTTCAAAAAATTAAATTGAAAAATATATTAATTTTAACAATGGGTATTTTATAAACTCCATATCAATGCTAATTTTTATATATTGTACATTTTAGATATAAATATTGTTAATAATAATGTACAACTATGTAATGATATCAGTTGTGGTGACCAGTTTATTGAGCCTGGTACATATTGACCAGACAAATGGCAATAAGACCAACAATATTGACAAAATATTGACTACAGATCTTGAGACTACTTCACCTACTTCACTACAGACTACTACACCAAAAGTGAACATGCTCAATAAATTCTGTATGGCAGCCATAAGCTGTGGCCCGGGATTAAAATGTGATAATAATAAGTGGCGATCAAACGGTATTTGCATCAAAGCATAAATTAATTATTAATGTAAATGAACAAGATAGCTTTAATTTCTTATTTAAATATACATACCGGTATTACAGTAAATTACAGTTATTTATTTGCAAACTTATAGTATTGTATACTAATCGTTAAAATATTATTAGAATTTACTGTTAATTTGTATGACATTAAAACATTACTCAAATGCTAAATGAGTGATTATAAACAATATTCAAATTGTTATTTATTAATTAATAGTATCTTTATAATACATTTACAAATAATTTATAAATAACCATGATTGGTATATATATTAACAAATTCTAAACAAATAATGATTCTGTTTGGTTTTCATCAATTTTTAAAAATATTTTAACATCATCAATCGTATATTATTAAATTAATGTGTATTGATAATCATATTAAAAATTAAATCATACTGTGATACCTATGTCAAAAGTCAAACAATATAAACCCCTCATAGCAAACATTTTATCTTAATTTTTAATATAGTTTACAATTAAGCTGAAAGTGTTTGTTCAAATTAAAAATCATTTAATTAGACTTTAATTATTATACTTTTAATACTTATATTTGAGCTGGTATACTGTATATGGGACAGGCATGAATTTATAATTACTGTAGTACATCGCATCAGGTACGGAATATTTGCTATATTTTATGCAAAACATTTAATTTTAAAAATTAATTTATATTGCATCTCAATTTACATATTATTTGCACAGTGTGCTTAAATAAATAAAACATCAAGCTTTTATTTATTTGTTAATAAACTTTATTTATATTCTGTGGTTTTGTCAACCCTTTGATATAATATTACACTAATTTCTATAGGCTTTGAGTAATGAGTGTCTGATGTAACGAGACTTTGATTAAACACTTTTGCGATGCAATATATAAATTAGTTTTTTCTTGAGACAGATCTTCAGATTAAGATAACTGCAGATTTTTGGAGACAATTTTATGTATCAGTACTCGCTATGCAAATGCTTTAATTGGGAGACAGGCACTTTTACCTAATGGACGGGAGCCTAATAAATTGTAAACTCAATTATAAATATTATTCGTATAAATTGCAAAAAACAAAAGTCTATAAACAGTGGGAATAGCGATAACAAGGTTAAGTTCAAGTGAAAGTCTGGCCCATAATTATTTTAACTAGAGATTAGATTAGACTTAAAATACATATTATTATTATACATAAAATACAGTATATTCCCGGTTATAGTCTCTGTCATATTTATAATAAATAATATTATTTGATAATTTTAAAAGTGGTCCAATACGAGTGGTCTAACATAACTGGAGTTCCACTCCATTGATAATATTATTCAGGTTTTATAAATATATTTATGTTGTAGTAAAGTTTGATTTATTGTGTAATTATATTTAAAATGAATAGTCAATT